GGGAGGGAGGTCTGGCTGGGAGGTGGAAGGGCCTTTTATCTTTTGAAGGATATATAGGCTGGGTCTACAAACTGGCTTCTGATGTAAGGTGTCTCTGTGCAGTCATGATTCTTTGGGTTTGTACTAAAGAGTGGAATAGCTAGAGACATGACAGTCCTGTTTTTTCATTTGTCAGGAACTTCCACTCCAATCCCTGTAATTAATTAACTGTGTTCTTTACGATCAGTCTGCAAGTACTCCCCTCTTGGGCGTCCCTTAGCCAGCATTAGCTGATGTCTGTTTTCGTCACTGTCACCTCAACAGCATCCTCACTGCTGTCATCATCTATGCTGATGCAACATTCTGAAACTCTCTCTTACATTCTCAGAGATTGGAACTTTGGCAGAACCTCACAGGCCAGAGTGAACAACACCTGGAGGTCACCGATGACTGCCATCCTTCTGTGGACTCAGCCTGTTTAATCTCCCTGTCTTCATCAGGGTTACTGTTGCTGTGATGAAACACCATGACCAAGGCAATGTGGGGAGGAAAGGGTTTATTCGGCTCACACTTCCACATCATTTGTAATCACTGAAGGAAGTCAGGACAGGAACTCCAACAGGACAGAATCCTGGAAGCAGGAGCTGATGCAGAGGCTGTGGAGGGGTGCTGTTTATGGCTTGTTTCCCATGGCTTACTCAGCCCGCTTTCTTATTGAACCCAGGACCACCAGCCCAATGTCACAAACAGTAGGCTGGTCCTCCCCCATCAATCACCAGTTAAGAAAATGCCTTACAGACTTGCCTACAGCCCAGTCTTCTGGAGACATTTTCTCAGCTGAGGCTCCTTCCTTCGATGACTCTAGCTTGTGTCAGGTTGGTGTAAAACTACCCGGTACACTGCCGTTAAGAGAACAGTGTCCAACCAACCTTAGTATCCTTGGATTTTCCATGTAATCAACTTGTTCAACCTAAGTCAATGCATAGCTGCAATTTTAACTCACTCTTCCATGCCCCTCATCCAGAGCAATACTTATGAATCATTTGCTGAAAGCAACAAATACGGAAGTATAGCTAGAGTTTTCCTGCCTTGCCCACAGTCAGGACAAATTTTTGTCACCCGCCAGTCCCACAGCCACTCAGACCCAACCAAGTAAACACAGAGACTTATATTGCTTACAAACTGTATGGCCGTGGCAGGCTTCTTGCTAACTGTTCTTATAGCTTAAGTTAATCCATTTCCATAAATCTATACCTTGCCACATGGCTCATGGCTTATCGGCATCTTCACATGCTGCTAGTCATGGCAGCGGCTGGCAGTGTCTCCCTCCTTAGCCTTCCACTTCCCAGAATTCTCTCAATTCTCCTGTTAGTCCCGCCTATACTTCCTGCCTGGCCACTGGCCAATCAGTATTTTATTTATTGACCAATCAGAGCAATTTGACACACAGACCATCCCACAGCACAGAAGTGAAAATCAGTTTCCTAAAATCTACCCTAAAGGCTGAAAACAACCACCTATGGATTTTGGTTGATGAATAGTGGCATTTGTTATCTGGGTCATTTGCATGCAGTGACTTAATCCCTTGTAAAACTGTTAAAGATTTCTGCAAAGTATCCCATTCCTTCCCCCATGTGATGCTTTCTATTACATTCAATAAAGACAGAGCAAACCCTTTGTTAGGGACAGATTCACACAACCACACAGACACACAGAGCTTGTATAACAGACTCAGAGACAGACAGGTACACACAGGGACAGACACAGAGACAAACAAATTCACTAGGCAGGCACAACTTCAGACTCATAAAACAGACATCCAGAGGACAGATGACACAGCCAGAAAACTCCTTGAGACATTTCCTTGTTTATCTGTAAGTAATAGCCCCACCTCCGTGTTCAGCTGTATGTAATAACCATGCATCCCTCTTCTACTATTTGTAATAAGCACACTGATCCTCCTGAGTGCTGCAGCTTCTCCATCATGGAGCCCAGCCCATGTGATCCCTGCTTTACTGTGTGTCTGTTCGTCCTTTCTTCATTTCCTGATTGCCCAGGTTAGGCCAATCCGTGGAGCTATGCAGGACAGGGCAACTAATTCTCTCTTCTCACATGGAGCTTGCTTCCTGCATTTCCTGAATAGCTATGCATTTAGTAAAAATGTGTCTGAATCATTACTTCCCAGGGAAGGCCCACTGACTTAACCACTTCTAGCTGTCTTTCTACACTGCTGGTGGACCCTGTATTCGTTCACAGTGCTCTCAAGGAATTTCATGTATACGTTTGCTACTGTGATCTGTTTTATGCCCCTGGGCACAGAAACTATAGCCATAGTGCGGCCATGTGATCCTCCGCACCTTCCCACCTTCCCAGCATCCTGCACAGCGGCACATGATCAAACGAAGGACGTATTTATTTAATGACTGAATTCAAATCTCCTTTAAAGTGCACTTTTATAAGTTTAATCTGATTATGTGTCTGCATGTGATGGAGGTGGCTACAAATTGGTTCGTGGATACTCAGAAAATATGCCAAAGATGTGACAGAGTGGTTCCCATGGTGACTTCATTGGACATCTTCCCCTGCAGGGAGGGAAGAGCGATATCTCAGACTCTGCCATTGCTTCCTTCTCTGTGCATGGGTTCCATATTAGAAGAAACTATCCTGTGGTCTTCGATCTTCTGGGTGCTTTCTGTCACAAGAGGTCGACACAGAGAAACGACTAATCACCTTGTGGCCTGTGGCTCTGGCACAGTCCGCCAGTCTCCCATTCATGCTCAGTACTGTCACCATCAGAGCCCAGGCATCGTTTACTGTACACAGACACTCACTCATGATTTTCTTCATCTTGGATGCCTGCAGCTGTCCCCAGGCTTCTACCCCGCCTTCCTACCTTTACAAACAAATGCTTTTCAGCACCTTGAGAAAACCTTGTCTATCATTAGCAGACTTCTCTCCATCCATTCTTTCCTATGGATATTCCAGATTGGGCTACAGTTGGAACCTTTGGTCCATTGATAGTTTTCTGTGGCAAGATATTTGATTGCACTGTGTGAAGATATGTTACTGTGGTTGGTTTAATAAAAAGCTAAATGGATAATAACTAGGCAGGAGATGCCAAAGAGACGTGGAGAGGGTTGGATATACAGAATGAAATAAACAGAAAAAAGCCACATAGTAAAATGTATATTAATAGAAATAGGTGAATTTAAGTTATAAGAGTTTGTTGGGAACAAGCCTAAGCTATAAGCTGAGCTTTCATAATTAATAATAAGTCTCTGTGTCATTATTTGTGAGCTGGTGGACCAGAGGAAGTTCGACTACAGTTTTCCTTGACAACTATCTATAAATTATGAGTTCTTTCACATCTTGGGACCTAAACATGAGGTAGGAGTGTTGTGGGAATCTTCCTGGAATAAGTTCTCCAACACTAGTGAGAGCACTTTCACCAGTCCTGCCAGGAATGGCCCTGACAGCGCCCATGACCACTGGTGCCCATGCAGCAGGCATCCAACAAGTTCAACACGGCTCTCTACTCAGATCAAGAGACTCTTAACTGATATTCAGGAAAACATAGTCACTCTTCAGCATGAAACAGAGTAACTGGCAGCGATGATCCTCTAAAGCCATAGAGGATGAGACTTGAGTACTGTGGAGAAGAAAGGTGTGTGCCTGGTTTGAAATGAGGAATGCTGTTTTATACCACACAGGCAGGAATAGTATGAGAAAAAGCCAGAAATGTATTTAAAGGATTAAGGTTAAAGACACGAATGAAAGCCAAGGGAGAACAATGCAGATTATATGCCAGGAGAACCAACCCATTTGTTCAAGACAGACTCATGAGGAGTTGGGATGACGAAGAGAAAGAAATTCCGTACAATCAAGTAGAAAAGATCAACTTTTAGATACTGACTTACTGATTTGTTTAGTAATGCTGCTTCTATTGCCTGTTTGCCAAGCATGACTTCACTTGCAACCTGGAGAAATAGCTGAAACAAATGAGCCATTGCCCTTAACAACCTTCTGGCTTCTATGCATGCTTCTGTGAAATCTTCTTCGCTTGCCCACCCTAACTTCTGGTTTAGAGTATGAAAGGAGACTGTACACTGGACCTGGGAGCAAAGCCTTCCAGAAGTATCCTGGCTTTGGTCCACAAGCAACATCTCTCTTCCACTGTCACTGGTGTCTGTGTATTTGTTCCAGAAAGATGCCTGGAACACGAGCTCTTTTTTGCTTTCTCACACCCCAAACACTGCTCCTTGTTCCTCTGTGAAATACCTCTGTTTATATCCACCCTGCCTTGCTGACATTAGCACAGCCACTGTACTTCCTCCCGCTCCCTGGTGACTGACCTTAGACTTTGCCCCTCCTGTCTCCCCATCACTGTCACTGGAGTTTGCAGACATCACCGTCCGCGTGATTGGCCAACCCAGCAAGCTGACCCCTCACCTCTTACAGCGCCACTCTTCCAGAAACAATTCAGCCAAACTGAAATCCCAAATGTTCACAAGGCCTGCTAGTTAATCTTACATGGTAAAGTTGCCAAGGTCATGGCAGCCAACGAATTTGGTCAAGCACTTTGCTTAGTGTTCCTGTGACTGCCATCTTGTTCCCCATCAAAGTGTCTAGTTCTGAAAAGGCATGATTCCCTCTCTCTTGGACACCACAGAGAAATTGCCACCTAAATTACAGCAACCTCAGGAACCTTTACACAGTTCACAGCCTGGACCTGTGGTCATTGTGCTTGTAATGACTTCACAGGGAATTTAGAGACAGAAAGCAGAGGTTCCCCTCACTCAGATTTCAAAACTCACCACAAAGTTGAGCCCTCCGTTTTGAAACACATATATGGATTTGTTTTTAAAGGCCAGTAGGATGTAGAACAGCATTAGGGTATAAATTCCATGCTTTCTAGTATTCAAAACTTAGAATAAATTGCCACATGTAGCAGGTTCCTGCCATTTTTAGAAACAGTGAGAAATTTCAACATGCCATCACAAACATGACCAACATTATCAATATCAAGCTACAATAGCATTTATTTCAAGCATTGTTTATAAAATTTTAATGGTTGCATTGAGGATTTAATGGATACATTTGTCACAGCAACTCCTATGGTCTCATGGTCTCTATAGATGAAGCCCAAGTCCAGGTTCTCATGAATCTTTCAGAAACCATTGCATTAATGCATCTGTGTGTTTGCATGGAATAGTTGCATGGTGTTTTGAAATATTTCATTTGATAAAGTGTCTTTGAGCTCAACTTAATATTAGAACACAAGAAGCCCCACCGAGATGGTGTTTCCTGACTAAGTAGTTGGCACATATTAAAGATTATGTTGCCAATATTAATCGATGACATTCAAGTAATTTTAAATTTGTCACCATAACAAGTGACAACTCAGAGGATCTCTTCCATATGATGTTGCAAACATCATCTATCAAAACATACATGAATTTGTCTAGGTAAACATGAGTCAGGCACTGATGTTTTAGACTGAGTAAGCACTTTCATGTTTAAAACTTTGTTGAATGAAAATGAATGTGCATCTTAAGAACAGGACAAAACATATCTTCACAGTCTCATTTTCACAGAGGAGTGAATCTCAAAATAGTGCAGCAATCCCTTTTACAACCTCCACAGCCAATACAATAGGAGCACAGAGAACTGTAGCAAAGGCATTGAGGGTTTGCTCCAAAAACGAAGTGCTCTCTTTTTTTATACTCTCGAGCTTATTTTTCAAATTATTTATTTCTGCATTCATTTCCTCAGATTTCTTCTTATATCCTTCAGCAAGCAGTGCCTTTTGGGCCTAAGAAAGTCAAAGTGGAGACAGAAATAAAGATTTTTCAATCCCAAAGGTATAATCTGTTTAAGATCTTTGTCAAACTGTCTTTAGTTTACTCTGAGAAATGAATTCTCAGTTACCAAAATAATATAGTGCAAACCACATGGTCTGAGTTGGAACCATGTATTGGGGGCAGTGCAGTTTGGCCGACTAATACTGCCCCACCCTTACTGTTTGGCTACCATGCTCGCATAGATCATTCTCAGTCTGCTGGGCTAGCAAGGCAGACATGGTGGCAGCTTACCAGCTGATTAAGGACTGTTTCCCATAACTTGCAGATGGACAGTAAGAGAGTCATTTGAATTCCCTGTGCCAACTCGAAGAGGCTATCTACCCTAGAGATAGCAGCGGCCAAGTTCAGAAGCTACACAATTGCTACACAATTCCTTGGAGATTTCAGACATTTTATGTCAGTATAGAATATCCTGAGAGTCTGTGGGCCCCGATAACCTTGGCCTCAAGGCAAACTGACTGCCACTCTTACTGCCTGGGCCTGCTTAAAGTATGTTTAGTGAATCCTCATGAGATCATCTTAAAATCTCTCACACCAAAAGCTCAAATGCTATCAACATCCTGCAGTGTCCAGCTGCAGCCATGTATACCTGCACTGCTCAGAATCTAAATACATGTCTAAAATCAAAGACATCATGGAAAAAGAGAGATAGGGGTCTTTCTATGAATCCCAAACAATAACTCATAGCGATCATGTTTCCTCTCATGACCCAGCTGTAACCTTCCCCTCCTGCCTGGGGACCCAAGAGCACGGGCACCAGGGGGAAGAGGAGACCCACCTGCAGCTGCTTCTCCAGCATCGTCTTGTGGTCTTTGATGAGCTGCTCTCTCTCCTGCACCAGCTTCGTTCTCAGTTGCTCTAGGTTTTCCTTGTGACTTCTCTCCTGAGCCTCCATCAGTTGCTGCTGCTCCTTCTGCTTCTGTCTTAGCAGCTCCTGTTCCTTCTCAGCCGCCTCCTTCTGGGCCCGCTCCTCTGTCCCAGGAAGATTCAGGGAGAGAAGAAAGTGATGGAGATTCAGGATGCATGGGGCAGAAAGTGATGGAGATTCAGGATGGATGGGGGAGAAAGTGATAGAGATTCAGGATGGATGGGGAAGGAAGTGATGGAGATTCAGGATGGAGGGAAGAAAGTGATGGGGATTCAGGATGGAGGGAAGAAAGTGATGGAGATTCAGGATGGGTCAGGGAAAGAAAGTGATGGAGATTCAGGATAGATGGGGAAGAAAGTGATGGAGATTCAGGATGGATGGGGAAGAAAGTGATGGAGATTCAGGA